GAGCGGTATTATAACAATCCTCAGCCTCGACCACTTGTCCCTTCTCCTTGAGCGCATTTGCCAAATTGCAGTAAGCATCTGGGAAATTCGGTTGTAGCTCGATAGCACGACGGTATGTATCAATCGCCAAATCGATAAGCCTGTAAAATAAAACGATTAGCATGAAATACAAAATAATTACTTGAAATCTTGGATCGTTCTATCACTCACCCTTGTTCGTAGTAAACACACGCCAAATTTCCATGTACGACTGCATTGTTTGGGCTGAGATTCAAAGCACGCAGATAAGCAGCTACAGCTCTGTGATAAACAGAAAAACCGTGTATCATTAAAATGCACCGCACAGCGAAAGAAAACATTTGAAACGGTCGTTTCTCGAACGAACGACGAATCATAATTTTATCGATCCCGATTGAATGAATAGGGATTCACCGTAATATCCGTGCAACTGCATAAAAAGGTTCTTCGTTGCTTTCGAATCGTTAACAATGACTCGTGATACCACACCCGACGTTGTCCTGAACGAAATGCACACGTGCCACACATGGCTGTATATAGCGACATGACGTGGGAGGAAAGTAGATGCCGGGTACGCGGAAAGTAGTAAGAAATTAACCTTTTCACGCTATATTTTATCCACGAAATACATCCAGGGGTTGAAGATCGTGATAGTGCTCGTTCTAACTGCACGCGTAATGAGGGTGCAATTGTGGTGGAGGGTGAGATCATCGTATACACGACAATGCACTGGCAGTCCATTCCTTCTCCATTTCGGTATCTCGATAAATTAATTTCTTTACATGTATATTTTCAATGTGAAAAACTCAGCTACGTCAACAAATAGCAGACGCGATATTGTGACAAGCTTCCGCCGCGAAACTTGCCACGAGCTACGCGTTTTTGGCAAACCCGTTAAGGACTTGCACCCTCCCACGAGGAGTAAAAGGGGTTCTCTCCCTCGTGGGGGCGGAGCGATCCTTGGAATCGATAGTTGTCCTCGAGTTTCTCCCGCTATTGTGCGTAATGGTGGAGATTCCAAAGATTCCGAACACGCGTAAATAAAGAAATCGTATTACCGAGGCAATTTTCTCTTTGTTGCCAACCGAGCCCCATTTTCTCCCCACTAAATGCCAGCATATATATGAAATGCCAGTGTACGTGTGTATATATCGCAACGTCGAAATTCTTGGAAGACGAACGAAACGCAGAAACCCCAACGTGGTATTATAATACCACTCTTTTCCTTTCCTCATAACACACACGCTTTGGGTATTAATTTCCTTCTTTTACTTTCAACCAAATTTTTTATTCAACGCGATTCTTTCTCTCAAACGTGAATCAGTGTATCTTTAATATATTGGGAGAGCAAGTAGATCTGAAAATTGCAACAGCGTAGAATACTCGAAACGTTTCGTCACCGCAGCAAGCGAGGTAGATAAAAATTGTAAGCACACCTAGGGAATTGGAAATTCACGTTGTGCACGAAAAGAGGTTGCCAGCGGACATCGCTCTGGAGAAACAAAAGACGATGAACTTGAAAGGACGCTGTATGAATATCGATTCGCTGTTTACACGCTGGCTCATGCGCTTTGCTCGCGATTTCTCGGTAAAACGTGTTTCACAGCGGAACGTGTGAAACTTTCCAACTTCGCGGTCCTTTTTTAACGCGTCGATAAAAATAGAGCACGCTCCATTACACCAAACGCTAGGAATGCTACGAAGAACCTTTGTAAGCTCGTTGCATTGATCGGGGGAAAACAAAATGGACTGTGTGGCTCCTCACTACCGTTAATGTGACGATGCAACATTAAAGGAATAACTATAAAGCCACTTTGCTCTAGCACAGACTTTAAAATCAACGTCTATACGAAATAAAAACGATGATCGATCAAACTGTGCATTTTAAGGGTTAGTTTACAATTGAGTCTCCAGATGTCGCATTGTACTTGTACTGTGATAACATGAGCAAAAGAGAAAACGAAAATCTTTCAGATAATGAATAGATTTTTAGTATATAGTCTATAAGTACTATTAATTTTTATAATTTAACTATCGTTATATTTTAATAATTATAAACAAATATTTTGAACAAAATACTTCATGGAGAAATGAAACATCATATTTTAAAAGTTTTATGAAGCAACTATAAGCGAACATTCTGAAGCTTTATATCTTGCTAACAAATTTTGCATTGCTCCTATTATTCGCATCAATGTTGTCTACAGAAATTCAGAGTTTAATAAATAGATTGTTAGCATAGTATATCATACATGCGATGCAAATATATTTTACAAAATATAAAATATATTTTGAACAATACTATGTTTGGATAGCACACATCTAAAGCGCTTAGACACCATGTTTCCAATAGTTTTCTTACCTATCAAAGATTCTGGCCTCTTTGAGAACGTTGCCAAGATTGATGTAGGCGTCCAAAAAGTTGGGATCCAGAGCCACGGCTTTCTCGAAGTGATGAATCGCCAGCCATATTTCTCCTTGGGCATTGAAGACACAGCCAAGATTGCTCCATGCGACCGCGAAGTCTGGACGCGTTTCAATCGCCTTTAGATAGCAGGCCTATAGACATAAATGAAACATCAGAGAAGATACTCGCGTACTGTTAGGGACGCGCCGCGCACATTGCCCGACCTCTCCTCGCCGCGCCGCAGCTTACACACACTTCACCATCTTCGCTAAACCTCAAAGAATTACATTGTCTCTTCATACCATCGCCTTCTCTGTCTCCTTTCATTAACTCCTTCTCCTTCGTACTAAGCCATTATGTTGCACAGTTTCCAATGTGAATTATTCGCGACAAAGTTATTTCCATGTACACAAATTTGGATAAAATCAATTTCTTAGAATTGAATTGTATCTTTATATCATTCCCTTATATCGTTAACCTTATTTTAATTTTCTAATCGATAGATAGTAATTCAAAAAGAAACCAAAAGTTTGCCAATGGCTAAGAAAGATTTGATACATGCTGATACAATTCAACAATTTTGTACATACATAAGTAACGGTACATCGAATAAGATACACGAATTAAGACTAATGCCTCATGTATAATCGATAAGAAAGGCTAATTACGGACCTTTCAATTTCTAAGATTACTTGCTCGAATTACGCTTCTTTCCGGAGGAAAACGAGCACGAATCGGAGACAGAGAGAGCGAAACCCATTTTACAAATCACACAATGTGTAATGGATTGGAATCTAGTGTTACATCGGGAGAAAAGGGTTTAGGTGCGCGCTAGAAACGTCATCATAGAAAATAAGCGATACGGGTGTCTCGACTCGTGTCCATCGATTCTCCGGAATGCGTCCGGTGGACTCGACGACACGAAGTACGCCCCCTCGCCATCATTAGTTCAGTTCTGCTTAATTCACTTGGCCAATTCACCTCCAACATTGTCCATTCTTAGTCGATGAGCTTAAACAAACATTGTTTTTCATTACCAACATATCCTTTTAATCAACGTTCATAATTGGTTAAATTTGTATTATAATCTATTCGTAGTGTAAGAAAAAATTTGTCCAAAATCTTCTTTACGTGACGACGCTCCTAAGGGTCAAGCAGGGATGTGCATCGCGCGTGCCGAGAGGCGGGCTGCATTGTTATAAAAACAGAGTAATCCGTACCTAAACAATAAGTAAAAGGGCATTTACAGTCGGCCGATCTCTATAGGAAATGATCAACAGATACTGGATAACAAGAACAAGTACGACTGTAGCATCAGGATAACTGGAGATGGATAGAAAGAAAGTTGGAAGCTTTATCAGAGGATTCTCGTGAAACGGGAGCAAATTGTAAAATTTGCATAATATAATTCCCGAGTTATTTCACCTATTAGCCCTGCTTATTTACGCTCGTATATACTACAAACGCAGATACTGCTGGGCCTTATAATCCTAAGTTAAATTCATCCAACTTTCAATCTCTCGTGAAACAATGGAATCAATTGGTCTCATGGAATGTTCAGAGATCGGCCTTGGGAATTACTTTACCTGCAGTGTACCCTTTGGTAGGTTGACGGTAGGTACGGCTTGCAAGCTCTCATAATAAACTTAGACCGAGAGACAGTGTGTTACTGAATAACCAGATTCAGATTCACCCTTTGACGAAGGAACCCATGGTAACCGACCAATCACATTGCTCCGACTTCCCTTCCTAGAGTTGATCATCCCATCCACAACAACAAGACAGCTGCGTTAATGTCTCTTCACTGATACTCTTCGCCTCAACTTTGTCTTTTTTTTTTCATTCTTTATTTACTACTTTTTTCTTTTTTCTTTTTTTTTTTTTTTTTTTTAATACGTATACAGAAGTACCTAGTTACACGTGCCGGTAAAAGACACGCTTCGCTGAGCTCGTCAGCCACCATATTATAATTGCCTAGAGTTTATCCCAGTGGCCTGATATAGGCTGTTATTACTTTGAAAATAAATTTCCGAATACGATATTAAAGAACAATTGTTAATTTCAAATCTTAACTAGGTTTCGAAAAATCATAAACATTTTTCATATAAACAAGTAATGAATTTGGAAAATCCTTTCTAGGAGAAAATAGTCAACTTCTATTTTATTGCTCCACAGATAGGTATCGATATTATATAAGGATAAATATCTTTCGGTAAATGTAATATTACTGGTGGCAAAACGTGCTAAACGAAAAACAAACGAGTGAACTAGAAAGCGCTCAAGAACGATAGGAAATTTATCGGAAAGTCTTTCCCTTTGCTGCATTGAGTTTTGTCGACGAGTTTTGTTTGCAGAGAGTACAATGAATTAAACAAAGAATATGATACGAAATAAATGTTGAATACGCAAAGTTGTCAATGAGTTTATACTGTCTGCAATCATTTTCACTTGTCGAACATCGCTGCGCCGCGCTGCTTATTATGAAGTAGGCCACTTGATTCACTTGCTTTATTAACACACTATTAAAGTAAATGAAACCCTTGGGAATCAAAAATCCCGTAAGTTTCCAAATTTTTAAATTCTTTCGTGCTTGTCTTGCCACAAGAACTAATGTGCAAGTAATTCGCATAGATTTCAAAAGATAAAAGATTATTAATCACTTTCATCAAATATTACAGATACGAATTTGATCAAGTGACCTCGCGCAATCATCGTACATACAAATTTGTTTACTTTCAAAGTTGGACAGAATAGTTGGAAAAAGAAGGTCGCATTTGTCCACGTATATGTAACGGATCAGTATACCTAAAGTAAATACACATTCAGAATGAGCTGAATCAAATGAGATGAGCTTAAGTACTACATTCGCGCGATGCTGATCCTATTGTAGCTCAAGAAACAAAATGATAGACTTCCCTTAATCAAGAATGAAAAAGATATATTGCTATAATAGAATCGGCAAGTTAAACTTTGCAATAACATCAAGCAAGAAAATTTCATTGTTGTTCTTATCAGTGTTATTGCAAAACGCGCAATGCGAAGAAGGATTTCATATAATCTTCAGCTAATTTTAAATTTAAACTCTCGTGCTGCGTTTGATGCCTTATAAGGAACGTTATATTGTTCTAAATATCTTTGCTGGTTCCCGGTAAACAAACTAACACAAAACAAGAACGCCAAACGCAGTAGTCAGTTAATTACGTGGGAAAACACGCACGATAGATTGCTACCAAAATTAAAATTTTCAATTTGTAGTCCCTTTTAAAACGACGTGTAATTATTTTTGATAGCAGGTCATCGTGCGCCGCGCACATATTTTACTACAAAGAGAAAGAGCTTTACGTTTCTAGTACACGGATACCAGGTGTTCCTAACTATTCTATGGAGCGGCTAACTAGTACTCGTGCAGATTTTACGAAATGCATCTGTACCTTGCCAAAAACAAAATCGCTGAAACGTCACAGCAATGACCAATATCCTATGGTACGATCATAGTACCGATGCATCCGAATATATGTGTGACACGTTAGATTAAATTACGACAATGTACAACAGACAAAAAAACCTACCTTAGCTTCATCAAGTCTTGCTAATGCTTTCAAAAGATTACCGAGATCGCTTCTCACACAGTACAGATCCTGTAACATGTAAAGAAAAAAGAAACGTAAAATATATATTTATTTTATGACGTTAAACAAAAAGCTTTTAGAGATTTGTCTAAAAATATATTTAGCATTTAATGGTATTAACTACAAATTAAATATGTGCAGAATCTGCAAAGTAGCATAAAAACTCTTGTGGAATAATACGGTGAATTTCTCACAGGGTTGTATTGTAGAGCAGTAACATATGCTTGAACTGCTTGTTCCATATCCCCAGCAGCAACTAATGCAGCAGCTAGATTGATGTATCCATCAATGAAATCTGGTTTCAATCTAACAGCATGACGGTAGTTTTCCAAAGCTTCTTGTAGCTGGCCATTTTCTTTGAAAACATTCCCAAGATTGCTGTAAGCTTCTGCCAATAAGGGATTCTGCTTTATCGCTAAGCTACTATAATGAGCAGATCTAAAATGTGAAAACAAATTTGTTATACTCATATTTTACTTGACAATTTTGTAACAATTGATATAGAAAATGCATACTTTTCTAGCCTTTTACATTGGAAATGAATAGAAGACAATAGTAGAAGGACTCCTGTGTTATTTGTTTCCTGCCTCCATAATTGCATACAATGTCTTTCAGCATTTTCATAATCTCCTGCCTGATATTCTCTATGGGCAAGTTCCAATAACCCTAAAAAAAAAAAAAAAAAAAAAAAAATTAATTCACAGGTATATATACATACAATTTTTAAAAATATACAGCAGTAAAATTCATTAATGCTCAAGCAAATACAAAACATATGCAACAATGTATTCAATATTTAATACACTTCTTAATCAGAACAAGTCATTTATTATAAATAAATTCATTCAGTTTAGTTTCGAATTATTTTTGTACTTAAAACGACACATATTTCTCAAACTTAAGACAATATAATTTAGAAAAATATATGTGGTGAAAGAAGACTTATGTGACGACACGTGTACATTTCAAATCAGTATATGGCTAATCTTGTTAACCGGTATAATACGTAGACGATTTTCGTTTGAAAAACGTGCACGTATTATATAAAGCACAATATGAATCGTACAGGGAGATTGAATGCGAAATTCAATTAATAATAAATATTACTTGTTTTTTTAATTTTAAATTAAACAAAAGAAAGATATCTAAAAATATCAGAAATATGACATAATATAAAAAATAATAACTTCTATTAATTTGAGGTATTCTTATGACATTATTATTCTAATTTCCATATATATATTTTTGAATATTGCACGTCATATCGAAAACTTAATAAAAAATTAAGGTAAAAGCTATATTGTTTTCTATGTTTAAAATATATCGATTTTTTTTGCCGGTAAATAGGGAACTTTGAATAGCATAAGAAAAAAATACGAACAGTAGGAATCAACTGCAACATTAATAGTCTGATTGTCAGCGATTGCAATTAGCTCTTTGCCCTGAGTATCCTGTGTAACAACTAGGAGATTCTGTCCATTTTGCCATTCGACGGTTCCATTACAAACGTCATCTGAACTATTGACGACGTTTCCGATTACGCCGGTCGAATTTTTTATAACGTTTTCTTTCTTCTCTACCAATCTTACGCTCATTTTGGTAACGAATTTTTCCGATTACGTTGCACTATTCTTCCCGGTACTACACACGCACGCTGTTTCCACGCAGTCACTTTCGACTAATTTCGAGACTTTTCCTCCACGCACTAGTATTAGTAATTCAATTTTTTCTTTAGGAAAATGTTTGCTACTCGTGTTCAAAATATTTTTATTCTTCAAACTCAGTTTTTTCGTGTATATTATTAGTATTACGTTCCTTAGCTATCGCAAAACAGCCTACGACAGTTATTAATTCTTCGTTTCTATACACACTGTGTCCTCTGTGTTCCTATACAAGTTACGCTTTGGCCAGGTTATCCCCGCCAGCCAAGAAGCAAGCTGATTGGTCAACTCGATAACTATGGCGGACTCCTGCGTCGCTGGGTAAAAGCAGAAGAAGGGGGTAAGGAAGACACCCGGCCCAGGACCGTAAACATTGTATTCGGAACCTTAATCCTTTTACATCTGTATTCAGCTTTTTTGTGTTTAATAATTTTGTACCTTTACCACATCTGAATATAGCAAAGATACGACTGAAGAATCAATTAAGTTATGTTTTATAAATGAAAAATACGAATTGCTTATATTCAAAATACATAAATCTCTTTTTCATTAAGTTACTAATCTTTCTTTTGATACATACGTATATGTATATTTTTTAATAAAGTATGAAAATATAGACAATACGTAGTAATACACAAATAAATATCTTTATATACATGTTTCATGGTTTCATTATTCATGAAAAATTTTGTATATACATCAATGAAAGCTTCAGAAAATAAGTATATTTCAACTTATGATGCGTTACTTGAAAATAATAACTAATAATCTACAGTTACAACAAAATCTATTACAAAATAAGATTACTTTTATTTTCAATTTATCAACAAATTTATTTTTTTACTTTTTAATTGTTTATTAGCACTTTTTTATTAAGAAAAAATTTCGAAGTGCAAATTATTCTTATAACTAACAGCAAGAATAGGAATATATACATTTCAACATAAACGGGGCACATACACTCACAGTACGTGTCTGGCGGCAACAAAGAAATCAAGACAGTGGTACTCAATCTCTATGAATAAAACTGACTTTTGAAATCGATTAGCTATTTTTAGTATTAAAACTGAAGTCTCAAAGGTCAAACCAACACTTTTAGTACTATAATATCAATTTTTAAAAGTACACATGTATAATTTATTGTATAGGAGTAACGTATGTTTATTAGAATTTGAACATATTGTTGCCTAATTTAAAATTTAAAATAGTATCAGCCATGGTAAAAATATTATGCAATTGTGAAATATGAATTGTTACAATAAATAACTTCTTAGATACAAAACTACTATACTGTCACACAAAAAAGGCAAAAGAACCACTGAAATATATGAAGAAACGGTCATCCCCACCCTCTCGTACGAAAAGCAGATGAAATAGGTACCCAGTGGAATATTCCACCGTCACTTTGATGAAGCGGAAACGACGACTGAAGAGCAAGGGGAAAGAATAGGTAGCTTAAGGGAGAATAGGCTCGAAAAGGGGAAAATCATACACGCCAACGGTAGAATAGTAATGCTTCTATTTGTAAAAAATATAAAATGAATTATAAAACTATCGAATACTTTTAAGGACAGCAATTATATATTGAGCTATACCTGTATTTGGGTGCCTACACGATAACCTCTTAGTTATACTTTCTATGTATATACGCGTCTTTTCAACAAATGTTCTATACAACAAACTCTTTATAGACTCGTAAAAATACAGTTACATGTGATAGACTTTTTAAATATCTCTCATTATTTGACGTTATCCAAAAATTACATTTTTGGTACATACATGAACATTCTCTCTCTCTCTCTCTCTCTCTCTCTCTCCCCCCTCCCCCATCCTCTTCCCCTTTCTCCTCTCCAGCACATGATCAAGTGCGCGCGGACACAACACACATACAGAGCTTCCTTTTATATCGTAGTTACGATACTACCATAAATTAAATAATAATATACATAAAATAAATAACTGGGCAACATATTGGTAATAATTTTTTCTGTATGAATAATTTCCGTTTTATATAATTACCTTTTTAAAGTATCAACTAAAATTTAATTTTGATAAAATTACTAAATTTATCTAAGTAGTAGATACAACTACATATATAATGTGGAGAAATTTACAAACATTAAACGAATCTATATAATTTTTTTATTTGTTAGGATTAATTTTTAATAGATATTTGTACAGGATGTATTTTTAGTAACATGAATTAGAACATTTTAAAGTGAATATCTATAAACTCATTACTCATTTGACTGGATCTCATTAACGAAGGTTTTATTCTTAAAATGAAATAATACGCAGTTAAAATTTTCTTATTACGTACCAACTGTTGAAAGCTGTTGTATCTCGTTCATTTTGAGAATGACACTGGTGCCTGCGATTTGTTGATGATTCTGCTGCTGTTGCTGCTGTGGCTGCTGCGGTGCTTGCATGATGACAGCCAGCATAAAAAATGATGTGGACAAGAACGGCACAAGAATTTTGATAGCCAGAATCAAAAAATCTGACAAAAATTCAATATGGTAATTAGAAATCGTAATAAATCAGAGAAAATTCTATAATTTTTGAAGAACCGAAACAAAAACAGGTACGCACGGCACTTACATCGACGTGCACTAGCGCAATATTTCAGCATGCGCCATCATGGATTTTCAAGCACTTTACTTAAACCAAGAATTAGTAGACAATATGCAAATCATGTAAAAAGCAAATTATATAACTGTCAATTATCTTATTCGTTAAAATTCTATTGTATAAGACTTTATCACAGCAACTAAGTTCTTCACGAACGTCCGTCAACGGTATGAAAACTTTAACATAACGTGGACCGCATATACGTAACATGGACTGATGCGAAAAACCAATCGATGAACGTATTCCAGGTCAGAGACTCGTGCTGTTCTACGCGCGGGAAATACGTCATGCTGATGTAACTGATAATCGAGTTGTACAAGTATTGTTTTTCGTAAATGTTGAAATTTGATAAAATAGGGAGGAATAATGATTAATAGTAGTATCATAATATTTTAATGGTTATATCAGGAAAGAAGATTTATTAGACAATTAATACGTATTAATTAGCAATTTTATATTGTATGACATTTCTTCATTTATAAATGTAATAAAATTCTTTTTGCTTTAAAAGAATAATGATATGTATATTTTTTATTTCGTTAATTCTTAATGTATTTTTATGTTACTATTGTAATAATTAGTCATATTCTTGTTCTTTAAAGTTACGACGTTTTACATTTCGTGGTATAAATAAAAATAAAAATATTTGAAACTACAAATATTCATATTTGTCATACAGAAATACGTAAAAAGTAGTAAATTATGAAAAGTTAAGAAAGGATAAATTATTGAACAGACATATGATCATTCTTGATCATACACGAGCGCCATACGGTAAAAGCTCAAGAGTAACTTCCCCACCACGTTGGTAGAATTCGAATAAGCGAAGATCCAATCTATTTCTTCGTTCTCATTCTTTCGGTGCTGTTGCCGGTGTTGGATGGTTTTGTGTACTGTATTAGTCTTATTTCGTTTATTTTACACATTAATAATGGGAGAAAACAAAGAACGTACGTTTATTATGGTCAAACCTGATGGTGTCCAGCGTGGACTCGTTGGGAAAATAATTCAACGCTTTGAAGAAAAAGGTTTTAAGCTTGTAGCGATGAAAATGTTGTGGGTAAGTTCCTTTACATATGCTTAAGTACTTAGTTATCTACTTTAAAAAAAAATATCCATACCGTCATTTTCTACAACGAGTAGTTGTTCTATATTAGTGCATACTTTTAGGTAAAAATTTTGATGCCAAAAGAATTTGTTGTATTTTACCATTGATAGAATGAATGATTCTTGTCGTGACCTTTATCATTAAGCCATATGATATTATATCTTATCAAGATTAATAGTCGAAATGTTAATTTTGTTATTTGCAATTTCTTTGTTTCATTTATCATTAAGATATACAAAAGATTTTTGTGTATTTTAATGATTTAGTACAAAATTAATTTTTATACATTATTACTATTGAAGTAAATTGAATACAATTAATCAGTATTTTGATATAATAGTAGTACATAGTCTATAAATAAAATTGTTTAATATAATACTTGTGTTACATTATGGCTTTTATATTATTTAATAATATGATTCCAAGATGGAATACAAATAATTTAATTTAAGAGCGTAGTAATAAAAAGTTTATTTCTGTTTAAGCCAACCGAGGATTTGTTAAAGAAACATTATTCAGATCTAGCATCTAGACCATTTTTTCCTGGTTTGGTTAAATATATGAGTTCAGGTCCTGTAGTACCAATGGTAATTATTTTCTATACAATAATAATAAATTGCTTTTATATAATAAAATTAAAAGATATATCTTATATGGCAATTAAATATTATAAATGCCTTTTAGGTATGGGAAGGATTAAATGCAGTAAAAACTGGTCGCGTTATGTTGGGAGAAACAAATCCAAAGGATTCTGCACCAGGAACAATTCGTGGTGACTTTTGTATTCAAGTTGGACGCAATATTATTCATGGATCTGACTCTGTTGAGTCTGCCAACAAAGAAATCAAACTATGGTTTGGAGAAGAGAAGGAAGTTATTGACTGGGCATCTTGCGCAGAAAAATGGATATATGAATAAAATATGTAAATAAATACAGAAGTATTTATTGTAATATTTAATCTGACACATACGTTAATTGGATCATGTATATTGTCATTTAAATACTATCAAGGATTCATTGTATGTAAATTTGCTTTAAAAATAATAAAACACATTCTTATATAAGATTAATAATAACTGAGTAATGAGAAACTTCAGTAATGTAAGTTATTCTAATATGAATTGATATTGGTCAAAGGTTGTTACGTAATATTATCATTATTATATCATTATAGATTAAATTTTTCTTACCGAACCGCAGGTATTGTCGGCAAACCTGTGTTACGTTGCAGATACATGTTAGGCAATTTTTTCACGATCGTTTTTTAGGTAATTTTGTGAGTGCACGCGACCCAAAAATAATTCCGATCAGTACCATACCACCGAAAAGAATTAAGTTATAAGTAACATCTCGTGAATCGAATAAATTATTGATAATACTTTGTTTTTGTTAGAATTTATTATTTCTTTATGCAAAATATGTATTACAAACAGGACAGCAATGTTTTTATTACTAAGCAACTATTAATGAAATAAGACCAAGGAACACATTATCTATTTCAGAAATAATTAATCAATTATATATTTCACAACGATTATGTTTTATATAATTACACAAAATAACAAAAAGCAAATGTAAAAGATGAGTTTACATGTTTGCTTAATTTTTTATAAAAAATATGTGACTTCCATCTCATAGTAAGCATATGTTATATTCTGTGGTGTAGAGCCAAATGGTAGAGTAGCATCTGTGCAGTAATTTATATATTACTTATTTGGTTGACATGAACACAATATGTAATATTAATTATTGATATGTATATGTCGATTAAAATTAATTTTATAAAAATATACAATATAGTGGGTATAAATAAATATTAGAAGCAGTCTTCTAATATTTTTAAGAATATCATTATTAACAAATTGTTCACCACGTAAATTTATAATAAAAGTAAAAGAAATAATAAACTACTGGTTATTACTTCAACTTATAATGTACTTATGTCAAAATATATCAATAATTTCTAAGAAGCTCATAAATTATTACACTGATTATTAATAACAAATTAATATTGTTAATAGCAAATTATCCATAACGTAAACTTATAAAAAAAGTAAAAAAATGAATAAACTATTGGCTATTACTTGAAATAATGACGTACTTATGTGAAAATGTAGCTACAATTTGCAAAATGTTTATAAATTATCACACTGATTTTTAATAACAAATTAATATTGTTATTAACAAATTGTTAGCAACATATATTTATAGTAAAAGTGTAAAAATTAATAAATTATTGCTTATGAAAGCGGAAAATTAATAATTAATAAAATCGGCAAAGTTCGAAAATTTCCGATCAGAGTGGGGAGCTTGGTCGATCGGCGTCTATATAAAGGGCGACGCGACGCAGCACAACTCATTTGTCGCTTCGACTCCGGAAGTATAACATCTAAGTTTTTTTTCTGCGTGAGGGGTGGGGATCCGAAGTGAGGTTAGGGATGACTACTCCAACCTCATCCCACCCCAGTAAACAATTTACTAATTATTTTTTTTTGTTTTCAGATATTAAGTTTTGTTTTCTTTCAGGTTTTAATTATTTTTTCTTGTTTCAGGATTTAATTATTTTTTTTTCTTTCAGATGTTAGTTTTTCGTTCCTATTTATATTTATTTGAGAATTCGAATATTTTGTACAATATTCGAATGTCTCATCGTTAGGTTCTTTATGTTTCGTCGTTGGGATCTTTATACTTCATCCTTAGGTTCTTTATGTCTCATTGTTGGGTTCTTAATAATTATTACTTTTTCAGGTCTAATTTATTATTTTTTCAGGTTTCAATATTTTTTGTTTTTTAGGATTTAATTATTTTTTCTTTTCTGTTGATCCTTACCTGAGATTTCGAATATTTCGTTGTTGGTTTGCTTATGGGTTATTGTTAGGTTTCTTATGTCCCATCGTTGGGTTGTTCCATCTATTTGGTTTATCATTGTGGTTCATATTCATTTCGCTTTTATCGTCTTTCCTCTTACTAATCCGTTTCATTTCAGATTTATAACTATATTGTTTTCAGTTTTATATATATATTTTTTTTAGGTTTTCAAGTTTTTCAAGATTTCATTTGGAAGACATCGTTGGATGACGCGGGATGCGTGCATTTAGACCTAAATAGTTATAAGCAATTATAAGATAGCTGCCTAGACTAAGTTTCATGTACGCGCTATCCGTTCAAAGGTAAGCCACATAACTTGAAGCGAAATATATCAATTCTCCTACCCTCTCGTTTACCAAATAGAACATAATTGTTCTCGCGATAATCGCGATTGTTCTTAAGTACCGACTAGCCTACGCGACGTACTCTCGTGTACTTGATAACTCCATGTTTCGTAAGTCATCCAAACGATTCGTTCCGACACTCACCCTCGCCACTGCCACCCTTGTCACGCATCGGTTCTAGGGTTGTCAGCAAGCTGGCACTCATCTGGGTCAATTCGAGGGTCTGTCGGCCCTAGTCTTCCTGGGCACCAGCGCGTGCACGACCGGGGTATGGGCCCTGTAGCCGTGACATTGCATATAGGCCTGCGGTCAGACCCCATGGGATGATTAATTTCTCCCCCATGTGGCAGGGGCCTGCGTGACCGGCTACAGAGCGTCGCTAGGGACCCTCGGCTTGATTTCGGATGTTTCGTTGGTTCGTCGATTGCTCTCGTTCGCGTGTAAGTTATGGCAGGGTCTGTGGTGGCTGGGTGGGCTAGGTTCGATCGGGAGGGTGCCGAGGCATGAAGTTGTCTTGTACACGAGAGTACATCTCGTAGGCTAGTCGGTCTTTCGAATAATCGCGATCTCGTTCGGGCGCGCCGCGATTTTCTGTTTGCTCGCTTCTTTTATATTTCATTCCCCATTTTTATTGGAATTTATTTTATTGCGACAGTAGAGTTTTAGTATATCGAATCGAAGTCCCCTTTGTAAGACACGAAATAAAATAAAGTGTCAGTAGAGTCACTTTAATTTAGTTCGCTCGAAGTTAGATTAGGCTATCTTTGATACGAATAGCACCAGTAGGTTGTACCACTACGGCACATGACTGGGTCTCGATGCATAGCCACCTCCACGTGGTGAGACCTGGTAATTGGTATCGTTTTCCAAAGAATAATTTTTGGAAAACGATACCAAGCTAAGAGCTATGCACAAAGTTTAAGATATTTCCTATCTTTTGCAAATTTTCGATGTTTCAGTTAAACATTTGACGATTTTTGGAACGGCGAGCGGTAAATGGACGGAATTCTTGGCAATGACGTCATTCAAATACAGTTATAGTTCATAAAAATGTATAAATAATCCAATTTGTTATTAATAATAAATTGTTCATAGTGTAAATTTGTAATACAAGAAAAGAATTAATTCATTGGTTATTACTTGAGATATATCATACTAATGTTTAAATGTACCTATAATTTGCAAAAGTGTAAAAATTATTACACTTATTTCTAATAATAAATTGGTCACAACGTAAATTTATAGTACAAGTGGAAAAATTATTGAATTATAGGCTATTACTCGTATATATAACGTATTTGCGTGAAAATGTATCTATAATTAGCAAAATGTTAATAAATTGCTACATTTATTGTTAATAACACATATTTTACAACGTATATTAACGATAAAAGTAAAAAATGTTAATAAATTATTAGTTAGTACTTAAACAAACAACATATTTTTATTAAAATGTATTCGTAACTTACAAAAAGCTAATAAATGAATAAATTTATTGTTAATAGCAAGTTAAAATCGTTGATAACAAATAGTTTACAACGTAAATTAACGATTAAAGTAAAAAAAAATAATAAATTATTAGTTATTACAGCGAAAAAGTAACTTTTAAAGGAATCGGTAAAGTTCGGAAATTTTCGCCGATCTTCGGTCGGCCGCCGCTATATAAGGGGCCCGCGTGCAGGCTCGAACCAGTTGTCGCTTGGACTTGGGGAGGGCCGCGTAAATATTCTTTCTGTTTGTTTCAGGTTTTAATTATCTTTCAGATTCTATTTCTTTTATTCTAGATTTCATTGTTTGTGCATTCGAGTCTTTTGTACAATATGCGAATGCTTCGTCGTTGGTTTATTCGTATATCATCGTTGGCTAGATCAATGGCTATTCAGTGGCCATTGTTCACTCTCTTAAATAATTTAATAATTCTTTCTTTCAGGTACTAATTATTTTTTGTTTCAGGTTTTAATTATCTTTCTTCTTTCAGATTCTATTTCTTGTATTCTAGTTTTCATTGTTTGTGCATTCGAGTATTTCGTACAATATTCGAATGCTTCGTCTTTGGTTTATTTGTATATCATCGATGGCTAGATCAATGGCTATTCAGTGGCCATTGTCCACACTCTTAAATAATTTAACAATAATTTCTTCTTTCAGGTTCTAATTATTTTTCTTCTTCCAGATTTTATTTCTTTCATTCTATTTGTCTCTTTGTTTCAGCATTCGAGTATTTCGTACAATATTCGAATGCTTTACTTGTTCATCGTTGGCTAAATCTTTCCTTTCACAAATTTTACGACTTCCGTTCGATTTGTTTTCGTTAGAGCGTTCGAGTATTTCGTATAATACTCGAGCGCTTCCTCGGTGGTATGTTTATGTATCACCGTTGGAATGTTTCGGTCTCGTAGTTATGTTGCTCAGGTCTCGTCGTTGGCTTGCTCGTTCCATTTGGTTATTATCCTTGATGGTTTCCTCGTACTAATCCCTTTCCTTTCAGCTACATATTAACAATAATATATTCTGTTTTAGCTTTTAGGTTTCTCAAGATTCTGTTTGCGACACATCAATGAACGATGCGTGCGTTTACTTTTAAGTAATCATAAGATAGATCCATAGACTAAGTATCATGTGCGCGCTATCTGTACAAAGGTAAGCTACCTAACTTGGAGCGAAATTTATAAATTCTCTATCATTTTCTTATCTCCCTCGTTTAGAAAATAGAACATAATTGTTCTCGCGATAATCGCGATCGTTCGTAAATACCGACTAGCCTACGCGACGTGCTCTCGTGTACTGGATAAGTACATGCTTCGTAAGTCATCCTCACGACTCGTCTCCGACACTCATTTCCAGTCACTGTCAATCTCGTCATGCATCGGGTTCCAGGGTGACCCCCTCGGATCAGTGCGTCTTCTGACCTCGACGGGGCGGTCCGCTGCCTAAGTCGTACGCGACTGGGGCTCGGGCACATGCTGGCTGACGGACTAGTACCATCTACGGTTAGACCACAGGGATGATTAAGTTCTACCCCGTGTGGCTGGGATGCGAAGTGTCTGTCTTGGCCGGCAACCGCCCAGCAGGGCCCTCGCGTTGACACTAGAAGTTTCATTGGTTCAGGGACTATCCTTGGTCCACGTGTAAGTCTTGGCGAGTGCGACAGTGACTGGAATTGAGCTAGGCCCGATCGGGAGGGTGCCGAGGTATGAAGTTATCTCTGTACACGGGAGTACATCGCCTAGGCTAGTCGGTCTTTCGAATAATCGCGATCTCGTTCGGG